TAAATGTGGCCGCGCAGCTCCCCGGGGAGCGGCCTGAAAGGAGAGTGCGCTCACCAGCTGACAGCGCGTGCTCCGCTCCAGACGCCCCGCACCGCGGCCAGGAGCCTCGCCAGCCCCTCTATTGTCAGCCGCTCTCTAATTAAGCAACACTCACATTACGGCGAGCCACCCCCACGCTTCTTGGTTCCTGTCCTTTTCTTTATCTTCCCCCGACTTCTCTCCTCCGCTGGGTCCCAGAATTTAACCCATTCTCCGCTTCTCAGCCTTTGCTTGTTCGGGGCCTAGCGGAAGGGCAGGGACCTCAGGAGTCGGCGTCTGGGACGCTGGTCCGTTTAGGATGAGGGTGGCTGGCGAGAGTAGTCAGACACAGAGAGGGAAACTTACAGGGTGGCTGTGTATCCAGCCCCCACCCCCACTCACCAATTCAACTCCTAGAGGTCATCTTTGAACTCTCACCAGCGCACACTTGCTTGTCTCTCCAGATTGCAATGGACACGTCTAGGTTGGACCAGACAAGTGGGTCTGCACTGTCGTTTCCAATTCTAACTTGGAACAACCAAGACGAAGTTGATCATGTTTCTTGAACTTCCAAATGAACAACGAAGAGAAATAATGACAAGATATCCTTTGATAAAAGATCGCTTACTTGGTTCAGGTTTAGATCTCGAAAAGTCAATAGACGGGCCTAATAAAGGCAGTGGTCCTGCATGAAGAACATTAATGCCTCCTCTTTTTCTGGTCAAGACCTCCCAGTTAGCAATGTTCCAAACAGAACATGCTTAAAATGGTCAGTTACCAAAAACAATCTTCCTCCGCTTTCTGTTAAATCAAATAAGTTTCCTAAAGTGTGGTGAGCCAAAACCCTCCACAAATAAAAGTGTGTGTGTGTGTGTTGGGGGGGGGGGGGTAGAAGGCAAAAGACAGAATATAAAGCAACGCTGCCGAAAGTATATAAAACTCTAGAAAGCCCCAGCAGTGTCGCAGAAGACTAACCCGACGTATCTATCTTCATTACTTTAAGAAACGCTGCCTCTTTGTTTGTTTGGGTGATATTAAGCATGCTTAACTTGCACACATAGTTGATTCCTTTGCTAGTATCTTGGATACTTGGATCTGACTTTGGAAGGTAGAAGCTAATTGCTAATAATGGAGAGAAAGGAACCAGTCAGCATGGCAGGAGTGGTCTGGCATATGGGGAATGAGTGCTCAGAAATACTCAATATTCAAGTTTCCAAAATATTAATGAGATTATAGCAACCTGCAGCTATATGTTACAGCTTGTTAATGGAGTGTAAGAGAGCAAGCTGCCAAACGTTTGTTATGCAAACTCCACAGCAGAACCTTAAAATGGAAATGTGATTGTACATCTCTCTCAAAGAAATGCCAGCATAAGAAGAAAGAAATAGAATGAAGGAAAGAAAAGAGGTTAAAGTCCTCATTTGAACTTTGAACACTTCATTTGCCACAAAGGGATTTGGCTTTTTGTGCCTGTCTGTGATGGGTTAGAAGAATTCATCCACACTTTCAATCAGTGTGATACAGAGTTTCCAATCTGATAATCATTTTTTTTTCTCATGAGAGGAAATGTTAAGTGACTTCCTTAAGTGAAGTCGGCATTATCTTCAATTTGTAAATAATGCCACTAACACTTAAAAGTTAAATATCTGGCTGTTATTGTGGTACCAGAAGAAAAAACACACAACCCTCTGAACATTTGCATAGATGTAGCTCCTAGCCACGGAATTTCTCAGAGAAAATTTTGTGGGTTTATTGTCCTCATGGATGGGAGTACTAAGATGCAGTTCTGGATATTGACACGACGTCCGTGTAATTTGGCCACAGTCAGTCAAGGGCAGGGCATTTATAAAAGATTGCAAAGGCATTTCTGATGTCATTTCTGTTTTAAAATTTCTATATGCACGTGAAAAGAAATAATTTTGGAAGAGTCTTTTTCCTCTGGTTAACACAAAATGAACACAAAGATATTTGAAAATGAAGTACAGTTTTCTTTGAGGAAAAAAATCACAACTTTATTTTTCTTATTCCTGTCCTTCCCTTATTCAGATTCATAGCAGGTAAAAGCATTTCTCTCTCTCTCCCTCCACATGTATGCAGACACACCAAGCCAAATAACTATAAAAATATGTTTGCGTTAATCCTGCACGGTTGCTTATGTCCACGCCTGTTGAGTCTGCTTTTTGAGAGTGAAATGGAAATGTGTTAGAAGCAATCGCTTGATTTATTTAGCAGCCAGAAGATTCCTGATGGTTATCGTGAGCACAGCAAACTCAGTGGGGGCAAAAGGTTATCTAAGGGACAGGTGCATGGTTTCTGCCCCTGGAAAGTGCCTGGAGCCGCTGCTCACCTCTCTCCCAGAGAGAGGGCGCAGGCTTTCCTTGGCTTTCCTGGATCATAAGCATCAGCTGAAAGCCCCTGGATACCCAGGTGGTCAGTGAGGAGCTTATTACGCAGTTCTCTACCCTTGACCAGAACTTCCTTTCCTCGAGCATTACTTTCTCTACACCCAGTTTATGATGCTCTCCTCACTTCAAGATGCAGTGGAGAAGGGGATGCAGGAGCGATTATTACAACCATCTCTCGCTTTCTGTCCTGCTTCCTTGCTCTTGCAAATTGTTATCCACCCCCAGTGAAGAAACAAAATGTAAAAGATTCGTTTTAAAATCAACCTCCCGCCGAAACCGGTTTGGCTCAGTGGATAGAGCGTCGGCCTGCGGACTGAAAGGACCCAGGTTCGATTCCGGTCAAGGGCATGTACCTGGGTTGCTGGCACATCCCCAGTAGGAGATGTGCAGGAGGCAGCTGGTCGATGTTTCTCTCTCATCGATGTTTCTAACTCTCTATCTCTCTCCCTTCCTCTCTGTAAAAAATCAATAAAATATATTTTTAAAAAAATAAAATAAAATCAACCTCCCTAATTCAGTGATGTTCATCTGGTGGAACATCGCCCATCTTCAGTTTAATAAATCGTTCTACTTTCATGTTTGCCAAAAATGTATTTCGCGTTCTACTTTCTCCACACACACACCGTATTAGCTTTTTCAGAGTGAATGATCCTGACACCCAGAATAGGCTATTACTTAAGTGAGAACCCTGAGGTGAGGGAGTGCACCTTTTAGTTTCTGCAACTGACTAAAAATGTAGTTAAATATTTTCTACATAGTTACTAATGCAGAAGGACAAATAAACGCAAACATCACCATCGACGTTGGAAGAAGCAGAATTGCTTGTAAGGAAAAACATGAGTGAGTGGAGGTCAACAATTTCCTAGGATAACTGCAGGTTCTGATTTTTGAATCGATTAACCTCAACCCCTTTCCTCAGGTTCTTTTCCATTGTTCTCTTTTTCTCTTTGCCTTCAAACTTCCTCCTCCCCAGAAAGAGGGAAGGAGGAAGGAAGAGAGGAGAGAGGGGGAGAGAGAGAAGGGGAGGGAGAGAAAGAATGGGCTTGTGCTGTGAATTTGACCTTAACAAGAAAAGCTCTCAGCTTGGCTAGTTTTTATGAAGTGGCAATAGGAAACCCTAGTAAAGTTCACTACTCCTGGCGAAATTCTAGGAGACCTGCACACAACCTCGCAGAGGTCGTTGAGGCTGGGAGTGAGGAAGACTGGAAAGATCCTGACTACTCAAGAGCAACACTTACAAAGTCGGGAGAAGTGTTACCTCACAATTTAATTATTGACCAAGCGCTTTCGCCCCTAGGGTTTCTGGTCTTTCTTGAAGATATGAGGTTAATAACAGAATTGTTCTTCAAAACTCTTAGATCGCACAAATTGGCACTTATTAGAAGAGAGCTCCATTCTTCAAGGTTATTTTGAAACTGTTTTTCATGCTTACATTAGGATGGAATAAGTGACAAATAAAAGTTATTTTCAAGTTTATTTTTATCATTTGCAAAAGGAAATACATAAAACAATGGCAATGGCTTTGCTAATTTAAAATAAAATGGTCTCGAGTAGAAAACGTAAAAAATGAATCAAGATAAGTAGAAATGGTAGCAAACACTCAATAATAAATACGTTCTAACATTAACAAAGCAAAAATAAAATTGACCAAATGCTTTTGACACTACTGGGTATGTTTTTTTTTAATTTTAATTTTTTAAACAAAAATTTGCAAAAAGCTTAAGGATTATAAGTGGCCGTGTTTAAAAAACAAAACTGGTCTGCAATTGGCAGTTGAGTTTGTCCCGGAGCCGCTGCAGTAGCGGCTGATAAAGTGCGTGCGCCAAGTTTCCTAAAAGACGCCAACTTTCTCGCGATCGGATATACATACTGGGTATGTTTATACAACACATACACTTCCAAGTTCCCCGTTTTCGAACAATTCCACAGTCAAAAGTCACTCACTTTGGAAGTCTTAACTTTGAGTTTCTTAACGCATTTTTGGGAAACAATTGAGGAATACTAACTCTCCCACACGTGAGCGCGCGCAACACACAGGGATGGATGCCCAGGGCATAAAATAAATTAAACACAAACCAGCGATAGAGAAGATGCGATGTTTTAGCAGCGTATTGGCAGCAGGGAACTAGGTATATATATAATTAATTATACCCTATCTATAGGGGAAGCAGAAGGTGGGAGGGAAGAACACGACTTTAACAGGTTTTCATCAAACAACATGGGACGATGGGAAGTTTGGAATAGCGGAGGCTTTTGCAAACCATCAAATGTAGCTGCCATCTGAAGCCAAGTCGTTGCTAAACAACGACCGTCGCCGCACAAACACAAAAGGGTGCGGGGATCTTTAGCCGCGGGGCTGTCCGCGCACGGGGAAGGGGCGATTTTGTCTCTGTCTGTGTTCGGGGTTTCTGTCACCTTCCTAACTGGCCTCATCCGAGTCACTGTAATGGGAATGGGGAGAAAACTCCCCGTCGCTTCTGTGAGACCGGGGCGAAGTTTTGCTACTCTCCTCCGGCCCTGGCTGCAGGATGCCCCCGGGCAGCGATGGCGACAGGTTCTTCTGCGCCATCATCGCCGTCAGGGCGCTGTCCTCGAAAGTCGAGAAGTGCAAGGCGTCCAGCGGCACCGAGTACCCTCCTGCCGAGGCCGGGGCGGAGAAGCGAGTCCGGCAACTGC